GGGAGTGTAACAGCCCACGCATCTGCAGTCTGCTTCCGGTGTGGCCAGAGACAGGCTTGCCCAGAGCTGCGAGGTGACGGCTCTCTGCACGCTCCGTGAAGCACCGTTCGTGGTAGCAACGAATTGGGGTCAACCGGGAGTCCGTCTTTAGGACAGCGGCAAGCAACTGATTATATGTGAAACCGTCAGCAATAATAGTCAGATTCATATAGAACAGTGAGCATAAATAGCAAAAACTTAGAGCTGTATGAAAAAAGTAAGAAAGAATGAGATTTGTAGCATATTGTCTTTTATAAATTAAGCATGTACACGCAAAGCAATACCATATATTATTCAAGTATATGCATATATCTAAAGAAAGATAAGAGGGAGGAGGAGTGAATGGAGGGGAGATTAGAGTGAGGATCGGAAATAGGAGAGAAAACCACAGTAAAATAGAAGAAGGGCCTTTATGGATTGATGAGTGTACCATGAACTAAAGTAGAATTATTTCAACTCTGTGGTCCAAAAGAGAAGAAGAAAAGGAAGTAAATCAAAATTGGAATTTGGGTGAGTGAAATTATCCTTATGGTAATAACCTTGAAATAGTCTGTTTATATATGGATAAATCATTAATAAACTCCAATTCTTCATTATTTGTAATAGATCACTTGCCACACACTTCCCAGCTGTTAGGACCCCAGGGCTGAGAGCCATAGTGGGAGATGTTTGTTCATGTTCACAGTTCTTTGCTTAACATAATCTTACAGAGGTGAATGTAGTCATAAAAGCTGCAGAGCGGCAGCTTCAGTATTCAAGACACAATTAGGAGAAAGACTTGGAAAAGGTTTGTGATTATTATTCCATAAAGACCTAGTCTGAATACCTCTTTATCCATATTTTATTTCCTCCATCTAATATTTAAAATCTTCCCCTATATTTGTAGAATGGAAAGCAGAAATCTAAATCGCTCTAACATTATTTCCCTAATTCCCACAGCCTGCACTGCTCAGATGTCAGTCTCTAAATTCCTAATACAAATGAACAGAAGACAAAATCATTTTGCAGGATTCCGAAGTGAAGTTTTTCACCGAAACACAGAGAAACAGTTAAATTTTGCAAAGCCGTGAAACTGGAGAGGAGGCTGTCCTCAAAATCTACCAACCAGAGATTCAGAAGGAATGGCTTGCTGGAGATTCACTTCTCTCCCTCCCTCCCTCCTTCCTTTCTGCCCACCTATTTGCACAAAACTCACCTGTCAATTTCATCAGAGATGCTTGAATGGATTTTCTAATCTGCTCCCAAATCGATCAGTTAATGAAGCTGATCTCTATGTGCTTGTTAAAGAGCCAGGTCTCTCCTTTTCGTCTTAGGCAATTCCCAGGGAACTCTCTTTGCTGTGGTCTGCTTATCAGAGGCATCCAGGAAGGTGTGCGTTCCTTACTAATGTTTTCTCCCGCACGCCAACTGACCTTTTTCGTTGTGAATTCGGATTTTATTTTTTTAGCACACTTACTGCAAATACGTAGTGCAACTTCTTGCTTCCAGTTCAGAATTGAGGGGGTTTCTGTGTCTTAGATATTTACTCTTTGTTATTTAAAAATGTGAAATTCTTGGTCTCATGCAGCATTCCTATAGATTTGCTTTATCCGTTTGCTTCGAGGATCAAATTGAAACTGGTAAATAACTTGGATGTTTCTTGTGGTAATTGACTGTGAGGCAACGTGGATGGCCTGTGGCTGCTGTGTGAGGTCACTCCCTGGATCTGAACACGTGAGCATAGTGGATAACCAGAATTACTCCAGGAGGAAGTGAGGCCAGTGTCCTGGGTACTATCGAACTCCCTCAGAGGGGCCTCCGACCACTTACAGACCATTATCTTATTGGTTCTCAAAATAGCCCAGTGTGGAAGAAAGGAAGGAAGATGCTAATGGAATAATGAAATGATGTAAAGCACTTTGCTCATGAAACAGTCACTTCCTTTTCCACTGACCCCATGTGTAGAAACTGAGGCAGAGAGAGCTGCTGATATTGCTGGCCCAAGATCCTCAGAGACAGTCAGCAGCAAAAACCAGACAGTGGGATGGAATGATGCCACCCAGCAAGCTGATGAACTTGTTTTTTAAAGGAATAGCTAAATATGAGCTAAATCACTTACTTCAGATACAGCAACCTGTTCTTTCTCAACCAGCACTGATCATGGATAGCTGGGAAGTCAGACACGTGCTGAGGGGATGGGTGGGCACCGGGCCAAGATGAAGCCAGAGCCAGGCTCTCAGAAGTGGGTGCTTTGGGGTGCAGCTGGCCTCTTCTACCGACTCAGTGCTTTGCTGATAAGTACAACTCATTTGGTTCAAGTCTTTATAGTCACACACAAGACATATTAAACTGACCTCATTCATTCTAACTCCTCAGGTTTTTCTTTTTACTAAGGACTTTGAGGCAATTTTCTTAACTGCTTGATAAAGACTTTCATTTTTAAAGAAGCTGATTTAGTTTAAGTTTCTTCTCTGCTTTAAAATTATGAGTCTACATCTTATTGAAAAGGGTTTTGAGAGTCTCCTAATAGGACACTTCTGAGCCCTTTCTTTTATTATTCAAGGGCATTCTGCTTGTGCAACTCATTGTGTCCACCTCCAGTGCACCCAGCTGGCTCCGGGCCCTTCTCAGAGGTCCCCATGTTCCTCTGCTCGATTTCCATGACCTTTATGCTCCCTCTTCTAGGCTCTCTGAAATTTTCCTTCTTTGGAGGAGGGGGAACTAAGGTCCAAATAATGTCTGTTAAAACATAGGTTAAAGGCATAAATCTTTAACTGTGGAATTGCAGGCCTGTGTGAGAATTTGTGAGAAGAGGGGGAGTTTTATGACATTACTCCAGGCAGTCTACTTGCAAAGGTCAACTCCAGCAGGAAAAGATAGCATCATTCTTGAACAAACACAGGTGCTATGGCTTCCCCCTTAAAGTCAGCCTGTTCGACATGTTTAGAGTTGATACTGTGAATGAATAGGTAGAATTCATTCTGTTATTCATTCATTCGTTGTTAACAGACACACAAATGAATAAGCAATAGCCCCTTATATCAGGGAGCTCACAGATACGTAAATAAATGATTCCAGTGCAAGGTCCTAGTAAGAAGCATAATAGAGGTAGATAAAGAAAGCAGAAATTTCTGTCATAAAAGTAGATGTGTTTGATGACTTTAAAACAAAGTCAAGAAGACAATTATAAGCTCCAAGTCCTAGGTGAAACTAGCAGGAATAACATTTAATAGAAACAAATATATGGTCCAGAATAGGTTCTAAAAGACCATTGGAATAATTATAAGATCAGGGAAATGTGTCACTGTGACATGGTGGACAGGAGACAGACAGTGAGGTTGGGTGGGCCCACGTTCCGGCCGTGCCTCTGACACCCCTACTTCTTCAGTGATCACGGATGCATTTCTTCACCTCTCTGTTCTTCAGCGTCCTCATCTGTCAAATGGAAGTAATGATAGGTCCTGCCCAAAAGGGTTGTTGGGAAGATTAAATGAAATAATACATTTCAGGTGCTTAGAAAATTGCCTGGCAAAAAATCATCA